TTAACTTTTATCCTGCTTTCTTATACGTCGTATTTTATAATTAAACAAAAAAGGAGCACACAATAGTGCAAACTTTATCCTTTTCGTAACACACAAAATCATAACATTTTCTAGTATAATATTCGATGATGGTTATTCAGGAAATTTGTCTATCTAAAGCTTCATCTTGTTGATGGATCCTGGTGATAAATAACTTGATATTATTAGACAGAATAGTGAATAATACATCAGTTTTCACCAACATGTTACGATATTTTTTTATCAAATGTAATATTATTAAGTCTGATAAACAAATAAACAAACGATAACGATTTTTTTTCTGCTGGTTTTTTCATTCAAATCGATAAATCGTTGGACTAAACACAATTTTCCACTTTTCCAGACGAAAAATATGTTGCTGCATAGGTATGAATCTTTTGAAGAATAAATATTTTATACATATGATATATTGATCAGTGTCCATTTTGAGATACCTCGGTTCCATAGGTACACTTAAGTTTCCGAAAAGATTCACGATAAATCTTCTACAAATGGTTTGATCCATTTAATAGCACAAGGTGCAAAATGTTGTCGAGAAAAGCGAGGAATGGAACGCTATTTTAATTTGAATTAATTCATAATTTCTATTGTTCTATATTTAATTAAATAAAACATCTCGCATAGAAAATATATTAATTTAAACTACTTAAATCATATTTCCTACTAGTCTCTCATCCAACAAATATTATACCGTCTAAAAGAAACTCATACTTTGTTTGCACACTAATATTATCTTCAGACAAAAATATGTGTACTACTTATATTGTCATCTTTCTCACTCTAATGAAGTTTTTGGTCTACCTAAATTTCATTTCATTATCGTTTTTATAGGAAAGCGTACTAAGTAATCGAATTTCTATCGAGACTGGCCTTCATCTCCCTTGATAAAGTCTATTATTTTTTAAATCTAAGAGAATATGAATTATTAGAGCTCAAACAGTCATTTATAGTATAATTGAATTTAGCAGCAGAACTGTGTCAACTGACCACAATATGATTATTCTTATAGATTTCACACGATTTATAAATCAGATGAGGATGAAAATATTTTTTGTGATTTTAAAGTATAAATAAATATTTCCAATATAATGGATGTACTCATCATGCTGGTCAAAGAAACATTGATTTGCTAGTGATAATATCCGTAAAATAAAAGAGTAAAAATAATGGAAATTGAAAAATATTATTATTATTATTGTAGTTGTTATTTAGTCTACCTTAAACGCAGGCAAAGAAGCTTTGCTATTTAATTTTCAGTGATCTGTCAAAACGGTATACATTTGTCTAACTACTAAGTAAAAACTGTCGATCGCGACAGTTAGTCCCGTAATTTTGCTAAAGTTTCGAATTTTTTTCGTTTTGTAAATATGTTTTATGACGTTATTTTTAGACACTGAATATTTAAAATTATTATAAAACAAGTAGATTCAAACCAGCATCTGGTATCACAAACAATACAAAAATGATCTTTTTAAATCTATGTATTAAATGCATCCTGCATGCTGCAAAAAAATATTGATTTGTCATTTAAGAATCGTGTTCCTTTGAACACATGGTCATGTCCGCTGAACGCATCTCAAAGCGTTGAGAACGAGATTCAATTACCAAAAATATGTCAGATTAAGTACACCCTTCGATCGTTACCATATTCCTGATCGATAATTTACTTTTGGCCCTGAATATTACAGAGTGTTAGAATAAAACGGTCATAAAAGTTCACCTGCAGCACAATACTCATTATGAGGAAAGGAAAGATATATACAGATTCCAATTGAACTTGAACAATAATACATCATTCCTTTTTTTTTTGATCGCATACATGAACTGTTGACGCAGCAATCTGAAAAAGTTGCTAAAGATACCACTTCCATTCGGCAAAAAAAAGATCTTTTCTTTTTTGGCTATAACGATTTATCGATATTCAACTTTTAAACATATTTCAATAAAATCTTTCCTTCTCTTTTTGATATTTTCAATGTAAACAAAAAACAAAGACATTTACGCGTTCTCGCTTCATTTTATATACATAATTGGACAAGTTCAACTGATTGTGATTATTAAAAAGAAGGGAGAACTATTGTATCAAGTGAGGAACTGTTTGCAGAAAATTGCACTATCAGCTTGCTTTGAAATAACAATCTCGTTAGATCGCACGATTCCTAGTGGGTGAAATTGTAATGCCTTAAACATTTACACGAAATTAAAAGAGGATGTTTAAACAAAATTCGCATATTAAAATGAAAGCCATTCAACTTTAAACTAGCAATTCAAACTAGGAAACGGAAAATCACGGCGGACATTTCCGAAATCAATGCAGATATATTATCCATCTTTTCGTAGCCCTATTGCGCTTGAAGAAAAGAGCACTGCAGTGTTAGAAGACATTCTATCTACAATATTGGCAAGGTATAAACACCAACTTTGAATTTTTTTACTTTTTTCATAATATAATACAGCCTGTCGTTAACGAAGCTGATTTTATTTGTTGACATTATCCATCAAATCAATTTTCGATAGAAACATGTAAAAAACTTTAGATTTGTTTATTAATTACCGTTAGAAATTCTTGTCTGAGATTGATTGTTACCGTTGACACTTGAATGTATGTTTATTATTGTTATTATTCTTATTTACCAATATATATATATATTTGTTGAACTTTCTTGAAGCTAGTAAGAACGATGATTTCTCGTGTATAAAAACAATACAAATTGAACCGAAGTTGTTTTTTATATATCTATAAAGAAAACAAGATGCACACATTGTAGTCATAGTGTTAGCAAAGTAAAAGGTAAATGTATTAGCATAGTTAACATTCCGCTACTACCAGACACACACCATTCAATGAAAAAATGATACATAAAATAAGCGTTTGGTTGTCGAAAATATTCTTTCAAAAAAAGCAGCAAGAGAAAAGCGGCTAATTTTTTATTAACAAAATAATTATATTCATTCAAAGTATAAGACTAAAAGCTATAATTCTCATACACTACTGATAAGTGTGCGAACTCGTAGTCTTCAAATGGCGAATCAATGGTGAACTCTTAAGTTAACCAAATGAATTTAGAGACAAGCAAATCAACGTTTCGATATAAAACTAACGCCATTTTATCTATTATAGTATTTGTATTCCTGTTTTATGCCAAATTTTACATCTCACCGATCAATACAACCAAATTAAATAAAGAGACATTACACCTGCATTAATGCTGATTTTAAATATTTTCGGTTGTTTTGCAACTCGTGCCACTACTTTTTAACAAATAAAAGTACACAGTTTTTCTCCAACGGTGAAAATTTCTTTTGTACTATTTACATCGAAAAATGAAAGAACATACGTATTATAAAATTCTTTAAGATAAAAAAAGTCTATTCTTGTAAAACAAAGCAAGAAAAACAGAAATTTAGCTGTAGAAAAAAAGCATTTTACTTTACTGTTCACGATTAGTCGCCGTTCGTCACAAACAAAAAAAATAATCTTTATTCGAATAGAATAAAAGCGGGCGAAAGAATAAGAGTACTAGACACATCGGCCGAACTGATCAACGACGCCAGTACATTTCTTTTTTTTTTCTTAGTAGTCAAGAACATCAGGCCGTATATAGGTGGAAAAAAGAATAGAAAATATTTTTTCTCGTTTCTTTTACGCCTACTAGACATTAAGACGAACAAACCAAACTCGTCCGATTCAAAAGATGGGGTGTTGAAAATATATATACACACGATATAAAAATAATGTTTGATGAAAGAAAAGAACAAATCCCAAGTTCTTTTTTGTATCTCTCTCTCCGTTTGAGTTAATTTTTCTATCGATAAAAAATATAACAAAAGCTATACAAGAAAAGACCGATGTTATAGAGAATATTACAAGTCTGTTTTCAAACACAAACGCTTTTAGGTCAACAGTATTGCTCTTCCGTGCTTTTACGCAAAAGAAATAAATTCCATATTTTTGAGTTTTTTCCGCAATTTGTCCGCATTTTCTGCTGCTACTGTTTCTCTTCTGAGTTAAAAAGTCGTTTAAACTCATCGTTATCGTGCACTGAAATTTATAATTATTTCTTATCAATGCCAGAACTACTGAAACTTATTCATTCTAATAAAAAATATAAAGTCAAAAAACGTGTCAATTAAAATCGAGATTTACATTTTTGTTTGTTTTTCTGTTGTGTTTTATTGAGTAAAACCATGAAGTACTAGATAGAACATTGTTTTGACTCGGTGCGTGTGAAAATGGATGAAGTTAGATCAGAAAAATGCGTTTCCGTCTTTCTCGGCATTCTGACAAAATTTTTCGCGTTTTCGAATTTTTATTCCGTATTTCCGACCTGAGCATCTGGTAACTCCAGAAATGAATTCACCATGATCAAACTGATTATTTTATAAGAGGTCAGGTTATAGGCACAAAACATAAATGTAACTAACAATTTTCTGTGTGATTGAAATTGACGGCAAAAGGTACCACAATGTTAATAGGTAAATGAAATAGGTAACATATCTTTCATAATTCAATTACGAATATAGAGGAAAGAAAATGCAAATAATTCTAATAAAGCCTTGCATCAGCTCTTGTCTGCGGTCATGTCTATAGAAACTATATTTCAAACATTTTCATGTATCACCGACGTAGGGTTATCATCATTTAGGTATAACAAGAACATTTTGAAAAGAAACATGCGCCTTTTAGTTTATTATGACATAAAAATTACTATGATCATTCTATGTATCAAATATATAACTCCTCTGATCTTCAGGAACATATGATGATTTTTCCTTTTTGATGTATTATTTGATTAGAAGACATGCTTGACTGGTTATTTGTATACTGACAATATCAACACGCACGATTCTAATAACCGTCCATATTTCTGATAATATATTACTACAGTATTACAATCATCTATCATTTTTGTCTAAACAAAAAAATGGCTCAAAGGAGACCACCAACTCGAATCATTATCATGAGACATTCGGAACGTCTCGATGCCCTACTAGGACATTCCGATTGGCCCTTAGAAGCCTTTGATACTAATGGTTTATATCAACCGATGAATAGCCAAATGCTTACATTATTACCGACAAGGGAAAATCCTCATGATTATTCTCTTGATCCTCCACTTACAAAACATGGGATAAATCATGCTTATCATACAGGGGAATTTTTTCGAAGTTTAAATTTATTACCTACAAAAGTTTATACATCACCAGCAATGAGATGCATACAAACAGCAGATACTGTTTTAGACGGTTTAGGCTTACGTTTACAAGTGCCATTACGTGCTGATCTGGGATTACATGAGCCAACTAAAGAATATCTACCGTTACAATCACCCGCTTACTATTATAGGAATGGTTATAATATGGATCTAAATTATCATCCACTAATTGCGCCAGCTAATACGCAAATAATAATACAAGAAAACCATCTAAGTTATTATCGAAGAATGTATAGTGTACTGAAACATATTATAGCGAAAGTAGTAGGAAACTCAAACTTAGGTTACCATAGCGCAGAAACAATCTTGGTTGTAACACATCGTCCTTGTGTTTCGATTTTGGCAGCAATGTTAAATATTGACCGTGTTGCTAATAAACCAAAATATTTATATGATATTGAACATAGAAAACGTGATGAAATCAGTTTTTTAAGTATGGTCATCGCTGAATATGATTCTAACCTAAGACAATGGCATTATTTGGCAGATTATCCAGAGAAAAAACTTCCTGCGGTTATATCGCCACAAAGAAGTATTAAACAACGTAAACGCATGATTAATTTTAGAAAACTAAGACATTTAACAAGGTCTTTGAAAAAAAAATGATGGAAGAGTAGAAACTTGATTAAAAAATTCAGTGTTTACCAACAAAAAGTTTCAAACCAAAAGTAAGCTACTTTTTATTGATGTCTGGTTAGTTGGTTATTATAAACCGTGAAAAATTAGCGTAGAGAAAATATTATCACACGAACGGAGAACTTGCCTTGTTCATCAGTTGTTTACAATCTAAGACGACTATTTTTTAATAAAATATAGAATATAACTCACGACGTGAAAAAACAGCTCTGTTTCACGTTCGTCCCTCTCAGTACAAAGTAAGAAAAGGTCATTAATATAGTTCATAGGGGGCGGAACCGTTAGGTTCAAAAGGCTCGAGTCCATACTAGATTTGGCTATAATAATTCGTAGTTTTTTGCAAGTATGACTTGTGCATAGAAGGAAATTAAAAAAATGATCTAAAGAATGCTGCTTGGAAAACTGATGAAGCTCAGAAGATTCCTGTGAATTATGTTTTGCAACCAATACATCAGAACTGATCCTTTGTCAATATACATTTCTTACCAATTGTTCCTGAAAGAACGGACTTTACACCAGAAACTATTGTTATTGGACAACTTAGATTTTTTTTGCCAAGTGAATAATCTCAAACTAGCCGTCAATGCCTGTGAGCAACCAAAAAAATTTTCGTCTTCGGTGGGATAAAAAAATCAAAACTCACAGATCTTTGGAACGACCGCGACATAATGGACTTAGTCTGTCTTCAAAAACGCTGACAAAAGACAAATACATGGCCCTCAAAAAGTGCTATAGTGGACAAGGGCATTATTTTTAAATAAACTAGGTTCACTAAAGTCGCAAATAGAACACTTGCAAGACGCTTATCTTCTCAAACATAATATCATTAAATAAATACTATAAATGAATTTTTTACTATAGAGTGATTTTCTTCTTTGAGTTTAATGCTCTAAACTCAACTGACTTTCGGCAATATAAAGTAACCAAGAACGTACTGAAAACAAAAAAATCTTAAATCAAATCATACTTTGCTCAGACCATCTGATATCGTTCTTCTTCTTTTAACAGATCATCCTTAACAACGACTTTTCTCTTTCAATCACTCAAAGAGTTGCAAACATATACCTCATTATTTCCAACTGGTTCTTAAGTTGCAACATATTAATATTTTACATAACGATGAATCAGTACAAAAAAAATAATCAGAGAAAAAAAAAACTTTTCTACTCAAATAACATCCAACAAGCCAAGTTTACGACGCTTTTATTATTAGAAAAAAGGCACTAAGCGCTGACCTTGCTTTTCACACGAAAGAACAAACAACAACAACAAACTAACGTTCTTCAAAATCTTTGTAATACTTATTCTATGAGCAAAAACGGATTAGTAAACAATACTAATACATTTCTGAAAACCAACAAGTATTGACTCCTAAAAAGTGTTACGAATACGAACGCTCCTCAGAACAATATTTTCAGATCATAGGCCTGTTACAAAATTCAAAAGAAAGCATCGTTCGTCCTACAGAAGCAACCTCTAAATGAAACGCAGTTCAATCAAACAAAAAAAAAAACTTCGCAGAAGTTTTCAAATGTTGCTTAACAGTTCCCTTCAAAAATTTGTAAGAAAACAATTTCATCCAGTGATTTTGCAAAAAAATACTTCATTTATAAGAATGTGCACGAGCACCGATCCTAGTTTATGCCCAAAAAAATCAGAAATTAGTTCAGGTTTTTTTAGCAAGGTCTAAGAGCAACGTCACTCCTTTCATTATCTTACGCAACAATTTATATTTTACCTGTTGACTATCAATAATATCACTTCATCGCATCTTTGTAAACAGAGAAACGCTGTTGACTGTTTCTGAGTGCTTTTTGCTTACTATACTTTCGTTGTTTATTCACTTCGTCTAGATTTGTTTTCTCTTTGTTTTTCATTTTCTTTGTTTATAATACTACTGGGAAACCAACAACCAATCATGGTATTGAGTTTCTAACAAAGCGACCTCTATTTGCAGTAATGCATAGAACGGTTGTTTCTGCTTGAGAGAAAAGTTTCAAACAAGCTTTCTTTATACAAACCGAAACATGCCTAAAATGTAAAAAAGGTTAACAAAGCTCTAGTGTGACATCCACAATGGTTTCTGATTTCCGCTCAGGTTCCCAAATTTCATTTATCTTGAAACTCTTCTCTTGAAAATTGTAAAACTACACTTAAAAAATAGAAAAATATCAATGCATATGTCACTTCTATAAAGAATTAGATACGAACAACCCTAGAACTCTGCTGTCTAACTTCTTTGCTTATTTGTTAATTTTTTTAACTTTTTCATTATACTTAACAAGTGAAATCTTGAGGCTAGTCAAGAAAATCTGTACCCAGGTTAAAAAAAATTGACATTTTAATAGGACATAAATGGCCTGTTCACGAAATGGTAACAACAGGGTTTCGACAGGCTTTTAGTTGTGAAAAAATGGTCAGTTAGGAAGCACCGTTTATTGTCTTTCATTTGACCTTTCATGATGGCTTAAAAACAACGGTATTAACCAACTAAACAATGCCATTTAAGACACATCTTGTGAGCTATTAATAGACATTTAATGAACAATAAATTACACCGTTTTCCAATGTCCGGGCAAGCTATGTGTATCCACGACTGAGTTTTCTAGCTCATTATTCTGAATATCATTGAATCTAAAATCGGATTGTAACTATAGAAAAATAATTCGTTTTTGGTTGTTTGTCATAAACGGTCATAAAACGAGCAATAAAATACTTTCACGAAGCATGTTTTAAAAAGATTTCACTTGTTAAATAAAAAACCAGATAAATATTAATGAAAAAGTAAAAAAATTAACAAATAAGCAAACAAGTTAAACAGTAGAGTTCTAGGTTTGTTCGTATCTAATTCTTTCTATAAGCGTCATATGCATTGATATTTTTCTCTTGATTTTCTCTTCTTTTTACTTTCGTTGTGCTGATGTTGGAGAAATGCCATTTCTTGTTGTACTAGCGTGTGATGATATTATCAGACCATTTATTGGTCTATTGTCTTCGTTCTCATCGGTCCATGTCGTTTTTTCGGCTTTCCATATTCATTGATCAATAGCCATGATTCTCGATAAATCACGTAATTGTAACTAATAACGACCAAAGATCAGTTATTAAAAATATTATTCTATTGATCTTCTAAAATTGCAAAAAGTAGATGATTACACTATTAAAAAAACATCAAAAGTCTTCATCACAAACATCTTACTTTTTTCGCATAAAACTTTCTGAATAAAGAAAATATGTTCATGACTCTTTTTGATTTCTGCTAACTGATAAAGAAAAAAAGTCATTTTTCTCCTTTCCATCGAATAACAAATGTTCGGCATTAATTAAATTAGAATTAGATTGATTATAATTTTTTCCAATGTAAGAGTTACATAGAAAATTACGTTGAACGTTAAAGTTCTATTTTAACATTACAGCATCTCTGAGAGACTTATTTCTGAAACCGTTTTTTCTTTAATAGTTTCATTCATGTGTTCGTGATTCATAGGTGAGAAAAATCTTTCTTTAATCGAATTTTTGTCAAGGCTTTTGCTTAAAAAACAAATCGAGTTGTGAGTATCGTGTAATTTTTGAGAATTTCCTAGAGGTGATGGGAAATCGATAAATTATTATTGATTCTTTTTTTAATGTTTTATAAATAATCAGAGTATGAAAAGGTACCGGAAATTGTGTGTGCGCAGGCATTTTGTTTCTCTCCAAATAAATTTGACCTTCATTTAAATTTATTTTGTTATATCTGAATTAATATTCTCACATTAAGCATCGACATTTGACAAATATACTCAAATATTTTACGAGATTTCTTACAGTTAAAACACGTTCACTGAACTATCTCAATATACAGAACACTTAAAAAAAAATCTGTTTAATTACGCACGCTCGTTCAACATACAACATGATGGCTTTATGCCAAAGAAGAAAATTCAATTAGTAGATGAAGCTAGATGAACGACGTCAGTAGTATCGTTTAACATTGGTGATGTGAGTATTCTCTTTTTTTCTTCATTTTTTTAAGGAAGAAAAAAAATCTAATTCAATATATAAATTACGTCTGTGAATAAGAAAGAAAAATAAAATTGTTCATTGTAGTTATTTTTGCCTAGACACACCACACACTAAGACATATGGTCTAGCTCATCTAACCACATGCTCTCTCTACTCTCCTTTTTTTTGTTGATCATATATGTACACACTATTGGAAATTATTCTCTGTAGACAGTTCATGTTTAACTAAATCAGTGGTAGGAGAAAGAGAGCCGTTTTATTTCTTTTTTTTCCTGTTGGCGGCATGTACTTTTCAACATGTTCTTCTCTTTAAACATCAGTAAAATTCCTCCCCAACTCTCATTCATCTCAATACTTTCTCCCGTCGGACGTCATTTGTTTTTGTTTCGTTCGGTCATTTTATTTAGTAAAAAAAAGGAGTAAAGAAGGAAAAAAGGATTATTATAGTCAAAGAAAAAGAAATGAAAAGCGTACAATTTCTAATGTAATGAGTTATACGATGTATCGTCTGAGTACACGGATAAGATGAAGGAATAAGGTCTTTGTAAACGAAATGAATAAGTGGGCATGTTGATACTAAACTTAAAAATATTTACCAATAATAATATTTCCCAAACATATGGTAAGCGAAATGAGAATGGTAACATCTATTTTCCTCCTTTATTCTTGACGTGTTCAATGTGTATTCAACGTTAGACAACCTAGTGATATAAAAAGTATCTGTCAGTAGTAGGATGTTTAATGATAGAGATAGGCTATTCATATCGAACAGATTAGATGATTAATAAGTAAGAAGATATTGGACACTGCGCTGGTGGTGGGCATACATCACTGATAGATATCTTGCGACATTTTTAATGATACTATGTTTGAGAAGATAAATGTCTTGCAAGTGTTCTATTTGCGATTTTAGTGAACCTAGTTTATTTAAAACTAATTCATGAGGGAAAGCTGAACCAGTTTCAACAACCAATGTGAGAAAATAACGTTAATTATCATTCTTTCGAGAACATTCGTAACTCAGATTTCATTTAGGTGTGAAAAGTCTAACCGTACAAAATGAAGTATGAAATTTCAATTTTTTTTTGTTTATTCTGCTTGAAACCTACCAGTATGCACGATCGAGCTGTCTTGTTTTTTGTTCTATTCAAAAAATTAAAAGTCAAAGCGTTTTCTTTTTTAGTTCTTTTTTTTCTTCAACCGTACATGTAGGAAATACTTGATTTTCGGATAAAGTAAGGTAAAAAGTTTGTATTTGACATTGGTAAAGAAGAAAAAAAAAGACAAAAAAGTTCTGATTTGACAAAATTCTAGGTGAGAAAAATTTATGAAACCATATTTCAAGCTAATTGCTCGTAGTTAGAAACTTTTAACATATTTTGTTAAAAATAATTTTTTCTCTCTCTTTTTTTCGAGTTTATCATGTATTATTATCACGCTAGGGTTAGCTATAAATCTTGCGCTGATATACTTCAATGTTAATATATTGAAAGACAATTAGATGTCATTCTAGTAGCAGGCATATATGCATATGATTGATATATAGTTTGTTTAAAAAAGTCATCATTGCTTATTTCATCTAAGTTCCACTTGGAAACACTTAAATTGTTTTTTTTCTTCACTTCCTCATCTATCATTCTAAAAAAAATTAATAAATATGCTCTCTAATGTATTATTCTGTAGAATGTATAAAAATTCTATGTATGTGTTGTGTGTAGTTTAAATATTATCGTGATGCGTGTCAAAGCCCTAACATTTTCAAGTGAACAAAATCAACCATTGGTTAACTAAGAGAAATTTGCTGCTTTTCTGACATATGAGTGAGTAACATGGTAAAATTTATTTGTACGATTATAACAGAATAAATATAGTTGAACTTATTAATTCTATCAGTTTGTAAGGAAATCTTGATTAGTAGTGTATAATAATCAATAAAAAATTTTTGTATTAGATAAAATCTCGGTATATGCGTAACTTGAAAATAGAATCAATTAAGGATATTGCTTTTGAATAATAAAGTTATAATTGTGTCTAAGATTAATAAAATATGGCCTTATACTTCTCATTAAAAATGAGATATATTTTTAAAGTGAATATGTATACATCGTATTATTTGTCTTCGCATTCGTAGTACTTCAAAGAGAGATTATATGGCAGTAAATAAACATCTTTCATATGCTGTTAATAGAATCACCATTTATATAGCTTAGAAACGTTTCTTCTTGTTTTGTTGGTACTCATAGTGGTCAAATGAAGTATTTTATTTGGATATTAAAAACGGATTGTCCAATATTCGTACAGAGAACATGAATTATTGGATACAAAATCAGTCGCCACTGTTTAAATTAAGATAAATACATTTATAAGTGAAAGCTTGTAAGATTGTTGTGTAATGAACACTTTAAATAAGCCTTGTTTCATGCTCCAACGTTTTGATAACATGCTCTATGCTAATAATGCGCTATTTTGTAATTGTTTTGATAATAAAGTAAAAGCACATTGAACTACCAAGATATATTCATCGATATGCACTGAATTAGTTGAAAACAAATTTTTAGTTCAGTTCTTGCCTTTTCTTTGTTTTGTTTCGAATTTATTATTCGATGGAAAGGAGAAAAATGACTTTTTTTCTTTATCAGTTAGCAGAAATCAAAAAGAGTCATGAACATATTTTCTTTATTCAGAAAGTTTTATGCGAAAAAAGTAAGATGTTTGTGATGAAGACTTTTGATGTTTTTTTAATAGTGTAATCATCTACTTTTTGCAATTTTAGAAGATCAATAGAATAATATTTTTAATAACTGATCTTTGGTCGTTATTAGTTACAATTACGTGAGCTATCGAGAATTATGACTAGACAATCAAGCACGTATCAATCGATGATACCCGTAATAACTGATCTTTTGATTTTTTATTCTTCGCTATAGCAGCGGTAAATACTTGAAGTTGTATCCACAATCTATAGTGGATTACTTTTAAATGACCTTAAAACTTCAAATATTTCGGTTGAATGCTCATTATACATTTCTTCTACATACTCAGTTCCTTTTTTTTTCTACTTTTTTTTTCCTCGTATTCACATGTAGACCATCATTATTTCACTCGATCGATCAAGGAGGTACTTCTTAAAAAAAATTTATTACATTTCGTGTTCAAGTGTGGCATAAGCTCTATTATTACATCATTTTTTAGTACTCTTCACCAGTCAATGTTTTAAAAAAAAAGAAGTACTTCAGTTGTTGACAAACTCGAATGTTACTTGTGTATCAGATATCGGCTCGTTCTTTCGAATAATAAAAGATCATATTGATTATTTAACTGACTATCTTAACACAAGACATTTCCCGTATCTTTTTCAATGACCTTTTACATTATTTTCTTTCATTTTTCTATGCTACGCTTTCAATACTCTGCACATATGGCTGTATCATTTCCACTTTTCATTTCAGTTTATTGAACATCAGTAAATAATATTTAGTTATTAAATGCCTGGCGAGACAATGGAAGACCCTCAACGGGAACAGTATGTTTATACATATACGTATCAATCAGATGGAGATAGTGGACAAACACCTCAATCAAATACGGTGAAAGTAACGACAACGGTTGAGGAAGAAACAACGCCAGATGGTACAAAAGTTGTTCGAAAAAAAGAAGAATCACAACAAGTATCAAAAGTTACCAAAATTCAAAAGATAACACGTGTTCATAGACACCTAATTGATCCCATAACAGGTGAAATAATAAACCAGGATAATCCAAGATATCAAATATTGATCAATGAATATGGAGAGCCGAATGCGACATGGTCCGATGAGAAAGTTTTTTACGATGGAAATGAACCAATAAATGGTCTGATAACATCATCACACCCCAGTACAACAACAAATGGCACTTCTCCAACATCGTCACAACGAAAGTAAAAACATTGAGTTTTCATTTAGACAAAAGATTAATCCTTTAATTCTGTGGACACACTATTATCTAACTTGTTTTTATCCTAGAACTCAAGACAGAACACGATCTCATACAGAAGAATCATCGTCGGCACGTTCATCTCAACGTTCAACCACTCATCGTCAATGGGAATTTGATCAAATTGATCACCGATCGGATCATAATGCATACGCTGATATTGGAACAGTGATGAACAACGGAACACCTACTTTAAGTTCGTTAAGACGAAAAGATGCTAGTCCATTACGACAAGAAGGTCACGACTATTTTACAACGGAAGAGAGTGGTATTGATAAAACAATTGGACGTTTAATTGATTCGAATGAAAATCGTTATTCAAATAGTTCAGCTATTCCCGGACAAAAATATGGAAAACATGCTAGTATTACTAATGGTTATAGTAGAGATGTTGTAACAACAACGACACGTCCGGCAGATATGACACGCTATTTAACAAATAATGAACCAGAAAATAATAAAAGTATGTTTACTGTATATTTGTTTGTTGCAAGAAAGTTAACTTGTTTTTTTGTTTTGTAGTTAGTAACGACGAACAAATTATTGATTATGATCCAAATGATCCTAATTTAGTGGACGAACCATATTTAGATGTTGAAAATCCGTATGAAGGACTTGGCTCTGGTAGAACAGACATTGGTCGTAGTTTACTGCCAACACTCGAACGGCATTCGCCAGATAGTATAGGGCATGGTAAGATAAACATCTTTCTTATTAAAGCCTGCATGAACAATTTTCGGTTTTGCTTATCGCTATTTGTAAGAAACACTGCTTCTTCTATTTCTTCTATTCTATATTTTTATCAGAGGATGGTTGAACCCAATCGACAGTAAATAATAAGTAATATTTAAAAAAAAATGCCATCAAATAAAACATGTCTTCGAGACAAAATGATTTAATCCTAATTAAGATAAAGCAAGAGAATCTCTCAACCTTATCACTTTCCACCTTGTGGTTTTTCTAGACAAAATTCACCAAGTTTGTTCTTCTTTCTTTTCTGGATTAATGCAGGGTCACTTCTCTCACAAAGTGCTAGATGAGCTAGCTACTGATGATCCTCGCGTAAATAAGAGTGCATTTATCAACTATATCGAAAACTGTACGAGATGAGAGAATGAATGTGACGTAGACGATTGCAGTCTATACTGTAGTCAACTTTACTTTTCTTGATTTTATCCGTCATTTTCCAATGTTTTTATAAGCAAAATATAGTCAGTCATTGATAAAAATATAGTTCGCAGCGTGTGATAAACCCCATACAGTTTACCCTGTCCTATATTATCGATACCGTTTTGTCTGAAATTTGTTTAATCTATGCTTCGATATAGTATAGGAAATTAGATCTTTTTGTTGTTTAGGATTTTCTGTTTAAAACCAAGATAGGAACTAATTTTTTTCAACACTGTTTTTATGATAAGATTAGGCGTTTAGAAATAGTTGCAATTGAAACCATTAGAATTATGTTTAAGATAGATGGTTAAGGGACTCCTTCAATTTTTTCTCCAGTTGTTGTATTTCCTTCCAGCTTCTAGAAGTTTTGAAGATAAATTTTAATTTCAATTATTTTCTGCTTCTGGAGGCGTTTTCCCTAAATAAATATTAGCCACAGTAGAAAACTGTCTCTTACAAACCGTTCCAGAAAACCACTGAAAAGTAACCTATGGAAGCAAGTTTTTATAATCCATAGGGTTTTCAAAGACTATTTTTTATATATTTGCTTTCAGTAAGAAATGAGTTTCTGAGACATTATAAAATAACTTTGTCGCATGCCATGTTGTTTGAAAATTTTTAATGATATTTAGCTTTTGAAGTTTTTCTAAATAAAGTTTTGTGAAAGAAATTTGTTGGATGGATTAACGCTTTGCAACTTAGTTCTTGCACTTTTTTAAACAAAAGCGAAATTTCTAAAATATTGGAACAGTGAGAAGTAGTGCTTGACTTATTTATACAAAACTTTTGTTTCACATATAAGTTTCTTTCGCATTTGTAAAGTTTCTGATATGATTCTTTTATCAATGAAGGGCTTTATTATTAAAAAAACATCGTTCATGCCATAAATCCGGTTGAAAAGTTGTATTTATTCAACAGGATATACTTACGAACGAGAAAAAAACAGGTTTTGCCATCAATTGTTGCTGTAGTTTTTGTTCTAAGTAATTGGTAAACTCCTGTGTGTGTAATGTAAATGTAGCTCAACCATTGCTTTCTATATCAACCCTTTAGCTCCTCCCGGCTATAGTGAAAATTATGGTACATTAAGTCGTTTGTATGCACCGTATGGTGGTGAAGATGATTTTAGAAATCGTTCGCCATCTATTGACACTGAATTTCGAGGTAAATGGATTCGTTTTTAAGTGATGTCTTGTTTTTTTATATTGAGTTTACTTGTAGAACAACGATGGAGAGATCCCGATCTTCAAGAAGTAGTCGAGTATCTTGCTCATACAAGCGATGTTATCAAAGAAAATGCTGCTGCTTATTTACAACATTTATGTTTCAACGATGATGGAATCAAAGCTAAAACACGGTTAGTTTATTAGTGTATAAAATCAAACGCTTCACATCACTCATTCACATATGTTTATGTTTACTTTTTAGCGCCTTGAATGGTATTGCTTATCTAGTCGCTTTGTTGGAACATGAAAAACCGGAAATACAAAAAAATGCATGTGGAGCGTTAAGAAATTTATGTTATGGAAAACGAAATGATGAAAATAAGGTTATATTGATAAAATAAATGAGTTGACAAACATCTGCTAATAAGATTCATCTTCTCTATTTTAGCTTGAATTAAAAAAATGCGGTGGTTTAGCTGCATTAATACGACTATTAAGACGCACTCCCTTCGAAGATGTTCGAGAAGCAGTTACGGCCGTTCTTTGGAATGCTTCTTCCTCACTGGTACATAATATACATCTGAATCTCTCGTTTAGAACACAGTTAAAATTATGCAATTTTATATTTTATTTTTAGACATTGAAAGGTGAAATATTAGATGATGGTCTAATGGTTCTTGTTAAAAACATCATTATTCCATTCTCTGGATGGAATCCTGATCCTAATCAACGACTTAATCCACAAGGAAAATTTCCACCAGTGTTTAAAAATGCAACAGGAATACTAAGGTATATAATTCTTCAACTTTTATACAACAATCTGCTAAACTCATGGTAATATTTTGTCTTGTACTTTTTAGAAATTGTTCATCAGCTAATTACGATGGTCGACGTAAAATGCGCGAATGTGATGGTTTTATTCCGGCGTTATTGCACGCCGTTAATTCTTCGTTACAATCGTTAAATGAAATTGACAATAAAGCGATTGAAAATAGTATGTGCATTTTAAGAAATTTATCCTATAAATTACAAGAGATTGTTGATCGTGATTATGATAAAAATTATCCGGCTATGGCAGCAGTTGTTGCCGGTACAGCATCGTCTTCGTGGAGTGTTAATCCAAGTCATCATGATGAGAAAATAAAAACAGGCTGTATGGGATCAAAGAAGAAACCAAAACAACTTCAACAACAACAATATTTACAAAATCAGTTAAATAATCGTCAACAACGTGAACAGAGTCATGAACCATCAAATATTTATGCAATATTGGCGCCGCGAGAAGGACGTCCAGTTGAATTACTTTGGCAACCAGAAGTTATTGGAACATATGTTCATTTATTAAGACATAGTAGTAATCCTGATACACTTGAAGCAACAGCCGGTTGCATACAAAATCTAACAGCTTGTTATTGGAAACCGTCAAATGATTTAAGAGCAGAAGTACGAAAAGCTCGAGGTTTACCGGAACTAGTTGATTTACTACATGTCGATGAATGTGATGCAGTTGTTAATGCATCAGCAATTGCGTTAAGAAATTTAGCTATTGATCCAACGAATAGTGAAGTATTAAGTAATTATGCAATGAAAGATTTAGTTGAAGCATTACCAGATCAAAAACAACAACATCCACGACATTCAGATGAAACAATCGCTTCTGTACTAGCTGCAATCAATGAAATTATAAGGGTCAATGATACTCATGCTAAATCTTTATTTGAAAAGGAAGGTGTTCAACGAATGATATTCATAATGAATAGTAAACCACATACATTTAATTCAAAAGTAATTAAATATACAGCACATGTTCTAAGTACAATGTGGAAACATCGAAGTTTACATGAATTATATAAAAAACACGGTTATAAAGAAAGTGACTTTATACATCATCGTCTATTAAATTCAAAATCGTTAACATCTAGTCCACAATCAACATTACATCGGCCAAGAGGAGATCTAGGACAACCAACATCTTACTTAAGTAAAGGAAAACAGATTGTTAGACCACAAAAACATGCAGGAAGTACGTATTAATTTAAATATAGTTTAAGATTTTTTTTAATACTTTTATTGATATACACACAAGAGTTCGAATGAAAATTAGAAACTTGCTTCATGAAACATTCTTTATATTTGTCTAGGTGAAGTATATGGAATGCGTAAAGTGAATCCAAGCGTTGAAAATTTTCCACGACCGTATGGTAATGGGGTAAGTAATTTTATTTTCATCTATTTAAAAGTAATATTACATAATTTAATAATTTTCTTTAGACTCTCAACAGAGATCCACATGCAGATTTGTATGCAACAGTGCACAAACATCGTCCACAACAAGTTCAATCAACTTGGGATCATTCAGCATCACCTGATTCTTGGGTCTAATTAACAGTAAAATGTTTTCTATTTCATATTTTCGTGTATGCGTATTTGTTTTTTTAATTCTAATGCAAAATGTCAGATTTGTTTTTTTTTTCATACGTTTTCAATTTATTTTTTACTATATTAAACGAGAATTGACGATATTAATATTAAAATATTGACAGATACAATTGTTTTGTATCTGCTATTTGTGCAATTTTTTGTCTGTTTTATTTTAATACATACCCACACAAACATACAATCGTTCATTTTTGTTTTCTACTACTGAAATGTCAGATTCTAACTATCCATTGGTCTATTTCATTTACAACTTATTGTTAGAAAGAGATAAACCATTATTTTATCCCGCTTAATTGTAAAACGTTCTTTTAGACATATTTGTGTGTATGGATGTACATAGATTTCTTTTTCATATTAAAAATGTGATTTTGTTTTTTTATATGAATATATCCTATCTCAGGTTGTCGTTGTTCTTTTCGTTTTTAAAAGTATCTATATATTTGTGCATGTGTGCTTCGAGTAATTCATTGTAAGTATCAGTTTTTTTATTTTGTCTCTTTTGCTTATTTGACACAGAATAACTTTTTTATCAAAGAGAAGAAAGAAAAAAAAAATGGTTTTGTTAAAACAAAACTTTATTAAAAATAAATAATTCAAAAAATATTAAAACTACTTGTTTATAATATATGGTTCTCGCAAACGTGGATCTTCGTTCAGTTTTGAATCTAATTGAGCATACTTCACGGTAGCTAATTCTTTATGCCTAGAAATAAAAATGAAAAAATATTTTCTAGACAAAAATTTAACTATATATTGTGATCTATTCAAAATGAGAGATATTTTGATCGCCTACCGTTTCAAACGTTCTTCTAATATGTGTAAACGAAATTGTGCCTCTTGACAAAGTCTTTGATATTCAAGTTCATCTTCTTTTGACATATCATGTTGATTTTTTTGATACCATTGTTGTTTTGATATTAAATCATTCATTTCTGTTTCGTATCGTGATTGCATTAAATTTGCTTTTCTAACAAGACGATCTTTAAGATCTCGTTTACATGCATCTTTTAATTGATTTGCTTGTTGTAAATTGATACGATCTGGATTTCCAATTGAAGCAATAAATGGTGCTAAATAATCTACTTCTCGTATTTCACGTTTTGCTCGTTCTTCATCCGCTTTTTGTTTTAATAATTTTCTATAAGTTTTTGACTTTTCATTTCTATCCGTATCATAGATGGATACATCTAAATCACTTGACAAATCTTCTTGTTGACGACGAGCAAGTATATCACGAGTCTTTTAATTAAAAAATAAAATAAAATATTAATTTAATAATAATAAATATTAATTACTTTACCTCATCTTCTGCTCGTCTTACACGTTTAATGACATCTTCTTCTTGTTTAATTAATTTCATCATCATAAAATATAGATCACGTTTTGACATTTGTTTAAAATCTTCGTCAGCCTATAATCAACAATATATACAGTAATTATCTGACCAACTATAATTTTTTCTCTTCACTCTTTTCCTAGTTAATAATGTAAAAGATATTTTACTTGATATGTTTCGTGTAAATCTTCACTCCATTTTAAAGTAAACGTTTTATCAGACCAATTTGGTGGTTTAACATAAACTCGTGTCGATGGTGTGATATGAATATTTTCTCGATGATAAGTGATGTTAAATTTATCATCTTTAATTGCATAAACTATTTCATATATATCATCATTGGCATCGAGAGCGAGATTTCGTCGAAAACGTTCGGTGATGGACTAAAAAGAATGGATACTCTGATTTTGATCAAAATTTGTTCTATTGACAATGAAACTAATTATACATTATCATAATACACACGTAGTGATATGAGAAATGCTAGCCTTATTCTAATTCACGATTTATTTTGAAAAAAGTATGCATTTATTTAAAATTTTTGTTCAAAGCATTTAAAAAACTCAACTTCTTTAGTTTTTTTCATTTTTTCGTCAAATCAGTGCCTTCAAAATATTTTCCTATATGTAGTCTGATAGATCAAAGTGTATTTCTTCACAATGAGATATCTTCCAAAATTTTTTAATAGTTTTTTGTGGAGATGTAAGCTTTCATTCTTAAATGAGCAAGCAAATAATATTTTAGCAAGTCAGAAGTCTGATATCGACAAAACTTTTCCGAAGGAATAAGGGTATAATTCCTACTTTTGAAAAATACCCGAAAGAAATCGCAAAATAGACGTTAAATATAAAACATTTTTATTACTTACATGGTACAAACGTTGTTCTTTATCAGCTGGTCCAAATTTCTTTTGCCGTGTTTCAAATACAGCTTTTCTATATTCAAGAAAATCACTTCGATCGATGAAATAGTCAGTTAATTCAAGTGGTGTTTCATGTCGTTTAAATAAACCATCGAGGCGAGCTTTATTATAAAATATCATCGTTCGCTCGGTATCAACACCGAAGCCGTACGTGTGATCTAAAATATAATTATTTTATTTATTTTATTTAACTTATTATTTCTTTCTTCGTGCTAAGCATCGACAGTATATACCTTTTAAATGATCTGGTCTACCAGGTCGATGTTTTTCATAAACAGTATTTATTCTAATATCATGTTCACGTACATCAAGTTTATCATGACGATGCTCGTAATTGTGCGTAACATAAATGAGCTCTTTAACTAAAGAAGAGAACAGTTGAAAGAATGTTACTCTTAAATTAATTTATCTCTTTACTTACAATCATAATCAGCATATTCGGATACTTTTAATACAATACCATCTTTCATACTATATGGTGCATATTTTTCAACTCGGGTCTTTTTATAAAAATATGTTTTACGTGAATTTGGATAACGTCTTTGAAAATCTAAATTTATTTTTAATTAAAAACAAATTAATAGAAAGAGAGGAAGAAAGAATACCTCGCCTTGCGGCTACCAGTTTAGGATGCCGCCGAATGACAGTTTCAATAACCCAATATTTTGTCTCCGTTGACTAGTTTCAGACATAGACACTCATATTGTTACTAGTCATCAGCTACAGCTCTAGACAGATGGATAGCCTTACACAAAGTTCTTTTCATTCAATTACTTGAGCTTCTCAAATACATTCACTGTCCACATTCTAGCTTTTCGGAATGCTACGCAAACCAGACAGAGAAACTGTATTGTACGTCACAACATAGTGAGTATGCTGTCGGACGGATGATGCAAGGCTAAGACTCATAAGTAACTTATCCAAGGTTATTGCATGATCTACCGGCGCCGAGGTTCGGACACAGTACCTTTGAAGTACTTGATGAATAACGTAATCACTAAGCCATGTCGTCTTTTAAGATAGAAACTATACCTTTTGGTGCAATATCTAATTCGTTAACCCATGATGGTGGTAATTCTATGTCTTTCTGACTCGTGTCGGATGTTGTCTATAAAACAAACTAAAATTAGTGATAAACTACAAAATTATGGTTTCTGTTTGAATGAAATAAGATTTTTTACGCATAATACAGTGTAAAAATAATAGTAGCAAAATTTGATGATAGCTGCTCTGAACATGTTATGTTATGCGTACAATATCTGGAATAACTGAGTTATAAAAACGCGCATATATTCTTGTTTTAATTTTTTCATCATATCTTTGATAATATGGTATACACGATACGTTAGCAATTGGTAAATTAAGTGGATTTGAAAAGAAAAATTTCATTCGTTCAAACCAATGAATTTGATTCGATAATAGAGTGGCTGCATGATACCGTTTTTTACCCACCTTTTCCTCCTCTTCGTCCATATTGCCCATATTATGCATCTGAGCCGTAGTTGTTATTGTTCCATCTGCCGTTTGCTTAGAAGAGTATGTAAACATATATTCCCAACGAGATTGATCATTTAAATCAAATTGTAAACCCTAAACGAGAAAAAATTACGCATTTTCTTTATTTCGTACATTACACTTGTTATAGTTGAAGTAAAATTTTTCAGATTATATACCACACATCCGTTTGAACAGTCTTGCATGTTCACCCATAAGTTTTGATGATTCCAAACACTTTCAATACCAAGATATTGATCATCAGTTGTTGCTTTAGCATAGCCTGTAAACAAAAATTCAGCATGATTAAATGTATAAAAAACTGACGTTGTTGTTCTCTTTTTTTTCACCTGTTGTTGGTTCAATGAAAAATACTTCGGGCACCTCACGTTTTCCAGGTAGAACGAGTATCCAGGAATGTACACGAATACCAAAGAGAGGATCTGGCAATGGTTTCTCTATTTCCTAAATGAATGTCAATTACCATATTAGTTATAAGATTATATTCGGCTTTTTTTACAGCTATTCTTTTATTTTCTTCTTCTTTTAATTTCTCTTTTGCATCATTATCTTTTTGTATTTCACGTTCTTTCATATAATGTTCATATTTACTAGTCAAATCCTTTGGTGGTTTGACTGTATATTTCTTGCTTTGAGATTTTTGTGTATCCAGTATTTCCTGCATGAAAAAATAACAGCAATGCTTAAACATCTATTTTGTATATTCATTCTTTATAACAAACTTGTTCCTTCTTTTTTGTAAACGGATTTGGCAAACGTGTTGTGTCCATGTAGCATATTTCTCGAGATGCATATCCACTCACAATGTAAGCATCATATCCAGCACCAATTAATAGTGAACAAAGTAAATTGGCATAATCAAAACAATTTCCTTTTTGTTCGGCCAATACTTTTGTTGATGACCAAAGTACTTTTGGAATTTCATTTGGTGGTTCAAGTAATTCATAATTCAAATGATTGGCAACAAAATCGGCTGTTGATGACCATTCTGTTAATTCGGAAAAGGATAACATTGTTGGACGAACTGTTGTACAAACAAATTTCTGAAAACAAAAATTGAATACAGCAATTATATTTTTTATACAATTGTATTACTTTAGACAACAGAGAGTTAATTACGTACGGGTATTGCACATTCATTTAATGGATTTAAAAATAACGGTTTACGATCTTTGTAGAGATAGTGGTACTGTCGACGAAAATTTTCAACATAAACTAATATCAGTTGTTCTTTTGTTGTATTCGAATTATACGATGTCGGATAATCTTGTGGATTGGGACATGATACAACAGGTCTAAAATGAAAAAGACAAAACTTAGAATTTCAAATAAAGAAATTGTAGTTCTAAAAAATCTAATAAAATTTCTTTCATAAAGTAACATCATGAGTTTAAATTAATTTAACCATATAAGTATACTCACGGTGGAAACATGTCAGGTGCAATTATTGGCTGCAGTTTTGGTTTAGCTGGTGGTGGTGGTAGTATCACTTCTGTTTCTTCTTGCGTCTAAATTAAATAAAAGATGAATTTAACGAACAGATATCGTATATCGTCTCCACCAACCTCATCATCCATATTTGGCGTCTCTGGCACAACTTGATCTGCCATGAATATTTGTTTTCGTAATAATATCAAGTTTTAATAAGTTCAACAAGAATTCAAGGCATATCTGAAATAACACCTACTTGATCAACCAAAACCATGAAGATGAACGTATGATCTGTAATACGTTATTCGCATACGCACAGTTTTGACTAGTTTTTATACACTTACAACGAGAAATATGCCTTTATTCTTTTTATAAATTTCTGCAATGCAAATCTGTATAGACTTTGTGCAAGTTCTACACATATTTGATGAGAAACTACAACAGATTATTGTAGATCTGCATTGCAAATTGTAGAAAAGATTTGTGTCAGATATTCTGCAGAATCTCCACCGAAAGTTTAATTTGGTTAGAACTTTATAAGTATAGAAACTATTATGACGAAAATGCGTGAAACTAGAGGGAAGTTGAAGTTTTGATGAAGTTGTAGTCTGTGAGAGTGTATCGCTAATTCCAAGATCATCTTCCTGGTGCCGCAAAATAGTTTTCGCAGATTATTCCCGGATAGAGTCAGTTCAATGCGACGCAGAATCTAGCTGTTTTCTTAACCATATTTTATCATACGTTCCCTGTTTTCTTTGCACGCATGTATTCCGCCCATGCACTAGTGCTATGAGTAAAGCCATTTTCAGGTTTTAAACAGAATGCGTCTTACATCTAAAAACCGATGAGATGTAACAACGCAGACACGAATGACATATTTTGTTCTTGTACGTTACGTAGTAACGTCCTCTAAGCGACTGGCATTCTCGTAAGAGCTTCGTGAAGAAGGTATTGGACGGTCATTTCCAATAAGATTGTAGAGAGAACAGTAAAATATGCTGCGAGTTTTTGCTATGACATGATTGGGAACATCATCATCATCTTTCTACTTGTGACTTATCTTATTATATCTGTTTCTCTCATGTAGTGCTCAGGTATACCAAATGTAAACGACAGAATTTCCATTCTGTCAGCCATCTTTTTTTTCGTTCTTTAGTGCATCATTAGATGAAAAGTATAAAACAAAAGAAATACGCCAATGAAATTTAAAAGAAAGCTAGAAATAGGCTCTAGCCTATCTGAAACGTCTACTTCCCATCCTTGTAGTGTTTTTACAGTTTCAACTTTCGAACAACAGTCTTCTATCGCTTGTAGTCCAGGCTCATCGTTTCATACTTAGTTCGCTAAATGGATCGAAGTTATGTGAGAAATTAGAAACATCATATGTTATTATAGGTGTGATGTTCAGACAGAGTACCTATCTCGAATGAATAAGTTCCACCGTACGATCAGTTGTATTCGTATAAATATGCATGGTATTGTTCTCTTTTTCAGATAAAATTTTTTATCACTCAGTGTTGATGGCTATAGATTCAGATATAAATCCCAATATTAAAACAAAATCATCGACGTTATGCTATTGGTATGTCTTAACTCTTATTCTTGTGTGATTTAATTCAACAATAACTGTTGTTTTTGTTACAGCGAGGGTGAACGAGATTTTTCAAAATGTGAACTTCAGTGTTGTTTATGTTCAAATTTTTTTCACATTGAATGTGTATCATGCAGTTCAGGGTAAGTAGAGTACTATTGTTTTGTTTTTTAGCAAGACTTTGACTTTTCTGTGAATTTTTAAGACCATTAGTCCCATTGATGACAAATTATCAGTTTTTTTGTAAAAAATGTAGTCAAACAAAACCACTTGAATCATTCCAAAAAAAAACAGCAAGTAAAATTTCGATGATAATGCAAGTCAGTTCTTTCTATGCATCTACGTTTTGTCTTATTAGCTCTAAATCAGTTATGTATAACGGCTCTCGCCAATTTGACAGTTATTGGGCAACAAGAAACAAATCCAAGAATTTATTTTTCAAGAGATAAAGTATGTTTTTTCAATTCGACGTAGAAGATTCAGTATTGTGTATTTTATTATTTTTTCTTAGGAAATCATACCATTCATTGAAGACAATTGGGACGCATTGACATTTAATCAAAAGAAAGTCAAATCAGCATTACATTCAAATATCAATCGAACGTTGGTTAGTTTATTTTTCCTACTCAAATCTTCGGAAAATTGATTTTGTAGAAAACAGAAAAATAATTAACCTGTATATGTAACTATTCCTGGAACGAGAGTGCTCTCTTAAGCATGAGGATCTAATCGTTTTTATTTTCAAATCGAACTTCATTATGTATTTGTCTTTGATTATTGTTTAGACAAGAGATGATCTGTTTCTCGCGAAAGATTTATCCGGTGATTTATATTATTCACTACGTGATCAGGCATTAGACAAAATTGGACCATTGAACGAGAGAATAAAGGAAATAATGAATCCAAATCTTGGACGATCACAATCGCCCGGCAGTGTTCCAGTATTAACTAGTAATAATAATAACAGCAATAATGGAAATAATGCATCGTTAATTTTAACCCCTCCATCGGCACCGATTACTTCAACATTTCCATCTACAACAAGCCATTCATCTCAACAACAACCGCAGTTACATGCGTCTCTATCGGCGAATAGTGTGCCATCAATTACTACTCCTCTAGTTCCATTAGTCAATGAAGTAACACGTCGAACAAGCAAACGAAAATTAGCAAATGAAAATTCAAATACCACAAAACGACGTGGTGAAATTCCAAAACTTGAACGACTTGTACCAAAAGTATTTCCATTAGAATATCCCTATAATAAAGAAGGATACAGGTATCTATAGGAAATTCTAAATGGCAGATTTTAAAAATTCGGTTTTTGATTTAGATATCATTTGGCTGAACCTGATTCTCATTCTCCCTTTCGTCAAAAATTTGATGAAACAGAAGTCTGGGCCGGAAAACCAATACCGGGTCATTTATATCGAATATTTTTAGAAAATGAATGTCTTCTTTCATTGAACGATCGAGGTAACAAGATTTTGGGTTCCTAGTCATTCATTTTAACAATATTTATTGTATTGATTACTTTAGCTCAACAATTAAAATTAAATGATGATCGATTGTCTATTACTGGTGACAAGGGTTATTGTTCTGTACGATCAACACACTGTAAGTTACTTGATTTAAACTACTTTAATAAAACAGAGATCGTTTACAGGAGCTGATTTAAACTTCAATTGTACGAAAATGTGACTTTACGAAGAATAGCGTTCAGTTGGAATGACAGATGCTTTTTCAATGTGGTCTTAGTAGAGCAAGGCATTTCGTGTCTTATATTAATAGTATTTAAGGGCAATCATTTTTGAATCAATATAATAACTGATGTAGCTATGTCTAATTTCATTATTTATTCAAATTAACAATAAAATTAGACATAGCTACATCAATTATTATATCGTGTCTTATAATTTTCTCGAATTTTAATTTTTCAAAAGTCATCCTTGGGCAGCCTTTCCATTTAACATTTTAGAATATAGTATACTTTTCGTTACAGCTGTTTCACATGGTAGTTGGTATTATGAAGTTACAATTTCGTCGATGCCATCGAATAGTGCTGCAAGAATTGGGTGGGCACAATATCTAGGTAATGTAAAAAACAAGATATAGACTGTATTTCTTATCGTGCATCTTGCTGTTCTTTGTAGCAAATCTACAAACTCCAATTGGTACAGATAAATTCGGTTATTCTTGGCGTTCAAAAAAAGGAACTGTATTTCATGAAGCTCAAGGCAATCATTATTCAGATGGTTATACTGAAAATGATGTACTCGGTTTTTTGATTGTTTTACCTGAACCAACGAATCATTTGTTACCTCGAAAATACAAAAAATTGGTATGGTATTCAATTAGTTAAAGTTGAACATTAAATGATCTATGTTATTTACCTTTTAGCCACTTGTCAAATTTAAAAACTATATCTATTTCGAAGAAAGAGATAATGTACGAGCAGGTGAAGCAAGTTTAAAAGAAACAAATGGTGGAAAAGTAAGCGATTTTTATTATTTGTGTAAAACGAATATAACACTCGTCACGTTATATTATCTATTTAGATTATATTTTATAAGAACGGAATTAATCAAGGTGTTGCATATACAAACATCTACGAAGGCAGTTATTATGCAGCTATATCGGTATATTATGGAGCTACAGTACGTTTGTTTCTTTTGAACTAACTTGAACTATTTTGTTGACTCGAAAAACAAGCACATTTTTCTTCATTGTCATATAATGGGAATCGAAAAAGAGTTCGTTAGCATTTGAGAGAACTACTGTAGACTAAATTTCTTTTGTTTTAGGTGACTGCCAATTTCGGACCAAATTTTCGATATCCTCCAAATGACATGGATTGTAATTGGAAGCCGGTCTGTATTTTTGAAAAGTTTATAGTTTTTTGTCGATAAATAAGACGTTTAAATAAAATGAGATGTGAGCAAGTAAAGGTATTGAGTAGCCACCAGCGAGGCTACTGCTCCTCTGAAAAAAAATATCAGGGGTAATAAGTAAGTTATTCCTGTGAAGACTTCCATTTCACAGTCGTGTATTTTTCTAAAATTCAAAAAATAAAAGGAACAATTCTTGATTGCAAAATTACGTTATATTATGTTCTATCGTGTTCTTTTGTTAAGCAAAAGTGATTTAATATGTCCATCTCGCTTCTGAATGGTGTACTGTATTTTTCATATTTTGTTTTTTTGTTATGTTTAGATGACCGAAACAATACCAGAAACATATTGTGCACATGCACTCAATGATATTATATTTCATGTCTCACATGACGGTAAACTATTTCTAGATTGACATTTATTTTATTTATGCACATGCATATTCACACATAGACAAAAATTTTTTGCTGCTCGATTAATTTTGCTAAAAATGCTCTCTCTTTCTCTTATTTCTTTCTTTGTTTCTACAATTAGCAAACTACTCGATACTAGTTTAGCCAATCTATTTTCTTTATAATGTCTATATATTTTTTTGTGCTATTTTATATATTAACAGAATTTTGCTGTCTAATTTTTTTTTTCATCTTTTTTTCTCTTTTGTGGTTTGTTATTTATACACACTTAGAATAATATCTTATTGTGCGCGCTCGCTTTATTTGCATGTGTGAAAGCTAGGCTATTGTTCATGCTGCTTATTTGATTTCATCAATCAGTGCAATAATTTTTTCGAGCGCATAATGTATATTTGGACAGTCGCTGCCCTCTTTTTTTTCTGTTGTTTATCTTGTTTTCATTTACGTTAGTTTAAAACTGAAATGTTTTTTAATAAAACAGAAGGATAACAAATTTGTTTATTTCAATTTTCTTTCGAGCAAATTCAGTATTGTACTACATGCCGCCCATCAATAAAATGTATACGATGATTAGATATTCTGAATGGATGAGAATAGAGAAATAGTTCTGGTGATAATGTCATCGAGTAGTTTGTTGCCCAAATTCTAAACCATTTTTAATAAAAGGACGAAACGTTTTTTTTTAGTTAGATACATTTTTATTTTTTGTAGCTGAACGCCTTAGTTTTTAAATTATTAATTCTAACGGATGCTTGATTATTACAATATAATCTCTTGCTTATATACTTAATATTTTCCTATAATTTATATTTATTTTATTTTTTTATTTTTTTACTCTAGAACAAGATATTTTGAAAGATACTCTTGATTGTCAACAAGGTATTCCGAAAGTAAGTGTACACTTTTTTATAATTTCAAATTTTAGTTATTAATCGTTTTACTTTTACTTTTAGAATAGTAGCAGAAATACATTACGTGATCCAGCAAATCGTTGTCGAAGACTAGCAACACTAAGTGCTCCTGTATTTGAATGAATATACATTATTTTTTCCTCTTTGTACAAACAGTAAAACACGGATGTCCGTCCCCACTGTAAATTTTAGTTTTTATTCCGTTTTCTTTGTTACTTCTTTTCTATTTTTTTCTGTTCTCAGTAATACTCTTGACTAAGTAACTTGTTTTTTGGTTTTATTGTGTTTTACACTATGTTTTGGTGAAAACTTACATGTAATAAAGATATTAAACAATGTGATAATCAATACCCATTGATGTTAAACACGTAGATTGTATAATCAGAACTAATGCTCAAAATTGCATGGGAAAACTTATCTACTACGCAGTTAAAGGTCGTAAAGATTGGAAAATCGACTGAATAAAATAGAAGAAGTTAGAACACTCAAAATTTAAGATATAGACGACTATAAAATTTAAAAAAAATTTATCTAATTCTTCTTTAATAATTAGTTGCTCGCTCGAAGATGTCAAAGTATAGATATAGACAAGACAATGTTTAAATCCTACACAGCGTACAGAAAACGATGATAATAACTGCACAGACACCCATTGATCAACTGACTTTTGATTCTTCAACTATACCCTATATGCTATATCGTAGGATAGTTGCTGATTGTCTCTTGATAGAATATATACTTATACACATGATATATATGCTGTGCACACTGTTAAATATCACTTCATCATTAATTATTCCATAAGAAAACGGTGAAGTTATATCAAATAAAGATGGATTTTGCAGGACCTATTCTGCTATATTTAAAGTACTTATCGAAAAAATAACTTCAGATACTTCATTTACAGCTCCTCTACTCTTGAATCATCTTTTTTTTAGCTTTTCTATGATGAAAATTGAACGAGAGAAAAGTGTTCAGAAAAGAGAAGATTTTTTCTGGCTAAGAAAATAAATCTATTATTTCACCTAGTCGATTTAATAATTTTCAATCAAAAGTGCAGAAATTTTATTCATTGAAAACAACTTAGCTTAATAATTAGACACTGTGTTGTTCAACTGAGACCTGCAACTCAGTTCGAGGGCAGAGTCTAATTCAACTTTCCATGGTGCACCTTCAGTTACAAAAACAAAACCGTTTAGATTGAGAGAAAGCGGTATTTGGATAAAAGATGTTATAGAGTGGTACTAAGCTTACCATTTCACTTCTAGAAATAAACTCAGTTTGCTAGATTACTGATATGAAGCCCATGAACATACATTTCCTACAAAGAAGTTATGTCCTGCATTTTAGTGCACTAAATTCTGCTAATCGGATGAAAATTTAACAACCTTTCAAATCTGCCATAAACAATAAACTATTAGATGGAAATTAGTAAGATTTATCCCGATTTATAAATATTGTGAAAAAAGTCGTTTTTTTACTTATAAAACAGATAATATGCACGAGCACAAAAAAAAACGTGTTTGTTAACTTTACATGTAATGAGAATAGTGTAAAATATTTTAGTTCAAAATCTACAGAAAGGACGACTAATAATAATGGTGAATGCAGTCAGTTTAAAAAAATCAAACGATCATTTCAAGTGTTGATAATTTTATTTCAATTGCTTTTTAACGTAATGAGAATGGTAATAAATTTGAATGTATGCCATTTGAAAATAATCGATATAGAAAATATCCGTATGCTGTAAATAATGCCGCCTGATTGAGAGTAAAACCAAACATTCTTGATGGATGAAGAAGGCACGCATGATAAGCTATACGACCCAATAGCCATACTGCTGAAAGTGATGGTAATAAACGTAATGTTGATTGTTCGCTAATAGATGCCAAAGCTAATTTTCCAGCTTGAAATGCTAAAAATTGTTCAACAGTATTTGTTAAATTTCGTTGCGTTGCACGAACATGTTCATTTGATTTATCATCAGTTGGTTCATGAATTGAAAAATAATTTCGTGTACCAATAACGCAATGTATAGCGGTAACAAGTGAAAGACCCTCAATACCAGTGTATCGTAATGCATAAGCAACACGATCAGCAGCTGATGATAAAATTGGTATATTGAATTGTGGAATATTTTTATTCCCAAGAATAAATATTGCACTGGATACACCAAGACCTAAAGTAAAAGGACGACAAAACAGTAACATGATAACTCAACCTGAAAACGTTTTCGCACACATACGCACCGGCTAAAATGTATGGTCCTGTTTCACGAAGATGCTGTTCAAATGATCTTTCTGCATCTCGAAGTCTTGCACTTGTTGTCTAAAACAAAAACTGAATTTAATTTTTGACTACTAATAACTTTGGGTGAGTTATGTGGTTGACAAAGGTCACATTGAATTTTGTGTTTATAAAGGACGTAGAAGACAATAATAACACTATACCATTAGCTTGGTTTTTTTTTCGAGAGGTATCCGTTGTTGATGGGTCTCATTCATTTTTGTGTACGTAAAAGTTGCAATAGACTATTCATATAGTCTCGCTATCACACCATGCAAACAACTTATAGTTGATCTTTGTGAATTATCTTACCGAATGTGTTGCCATTTTGTCGAATTACTTAATGTTCGTAATCAAAAAATTTTCACAAGAAGTTCTAAAAAAATAAATGTCTATACTTTACACTAGTGTAACAGTCGATATGTTAACGGAAAAAATAAAGTGCACAAAGTACAGACACGTTTTATCTTAACATCACGGCTGCTGCCCTTCACCCCATTTTTTATTTTTTTTTTCTCGTCATTTGCTTTCTTCGCACACGACTAGAAAAAATACGAGAGAACGCGCAAGAAAAAGCCCTTTTAATATTATATAACGTGCTTTGTGTAATGAGAAATGACCTGTGTAGTATGCATAGAGAACTTTCGCATTCATCGATAGAACAATGTCAAGCTGAATTCAGTTTTTTTCTTTCTTTCTTTCTCTAACATTTTTTTATTGCTTTTCCTTCCCATCGCCGATAAACGCGACTCAACGAAAACAGCGGACTCTCAAAAAAACAATAAGACTCTCAAAAAACAATAATATATATTTTTTGAGCGGTCGAGAGATTTACAAATCTTTTTTTTTGTTCTATACTGTTCTATAGAATGTGGCTTAGTGATGCTTATCAACACTCTATCGGTATAATCTTTCTAACATGAAACCCGTTTTGAGCCTCAATTAGTCAGTTGTTTCATCATTGCAGCGAATGATAAAGGGATTTTGAAAAATAAAGTATTTGGAGAAGTATGGAGCAAAAATAGATGAGGTCAAAACCAATGTTCTTGTCATTCATTTTCGATACTGCAACGTTTCTTGAATATACATATGAGTTACAACACGCAGATTTCATGCCTAATCACGATTAAATTAATCCTCTTCAGATTTCTCTGTTGAAATTTCGTTGATGTTGATAGCTTTGACTGGCGCTTCATTATCAGTTTATAATACAAGGGAAGATCGAACAGAAGGAAAAAGTGTAGTTTGAAGCTGTTTTGGTTCTTTTGCTTTCAAATCTTAAATAGAAGAGAGTCTGTGCTGATATTATCGATAACTCAAAGTTAATCTGAAAGTAATTTGCAAACAGAATAGAATTTTCAAAGACTTGACTGTTTCTATATTTCTGTTAAAAATAATTGGATAAGTGATGTAACTTTATTGGTGAAGGAATATAGAAAGGCAGCTAGTGACAGCAACAAAAGCACGATATCTAGCGGCATCTATAGGACGCTGCTAGTTTGAGTAACAATTACTTCTAACGGGTAAAAAAATACGTAAACTGAATATTCCTATGAAAAAGTTTAAACCGATTAACAGACATATCACTGGAACAAAAAAATTAAAGTTAATTTTGAGTTGCTGAAAAATGTTTTTTCGTGTTCACCACACTCGATAACCCAGAAGATTTTCTATTTTTGGCCAGGGGTACTTCCGAAAATTGAAGAAAAATTTTGAAACAAAATGGCGTAAAAAAGTTTCCATGGGGAAATAATATTAGTTTGAAAATTTTTTCTAAACTTTCGTAAGTACCTCGACCAAAAATAGAAAATCTTCTGGGTTATCGAGTGTGGTGAATACGAAAAACCACTTTTCAGCAACTCAAAACCAACTTTATTTTTTTTCCAGTGATATGTTTTTGCAGTACAACAGTTTATTCATCAATAGTATATATACGAGAGACAGAGGACAACGGAGAGACCTAGACCGTTTTATAGAATTTTCTATCCTATAAAGTTAATCTTCTTTCTTTTTTATGACGATGTTACTGACAACAATAAACGTATGGTGCATTCCAGGAAACAACTCTTTTTCTAAGAATATATCCTTTTAAACTTACTCAGACGCATGGCTGGCAAATTTGAGCTTTCCATCGTAAATGAAATTTTACATGAAGTTTTATTTTGGAAAATTTCAGCGATCAAAGATTTTATGCATAGTGCATTTTAGTACACTAATATACATATGTATAAAAATGGACTGCATGCACCGATTTTTGTTCAAACTGAGGGAATAAGTCAAGAGGAGTGACTGATATTCTTTTAAATCTCTCAGAACAAAAGCGCTGTAAACACTGACATCCGTTCTTAATCTCATGTTACTGTTAAAATGTTACGTAGTAGTAACAGATGTTGGTGAATAAAATTGATTATTGTTTATAATATAAGTAAAATAAAACGATAATCGTTATATGATTGGCAAATAAAACGTTTTTGCTATAATTATAGATTTTAAGTGTCGTACACAATTTTTCGTTACAGCAACCGTTTTTCTATTAATCGAAACTGATGTCTTGTTGGGGACTGGAGGCATTCATCAAAAATCTACTTTTCATTTTACTATTGTCTTGCAAGTGAACTGATGGATGAAAAAAATATAACCCGAAACCGGTTCAAAATATATTTTTGACTAAAAATGAACACTTATCTTATTACATAAGACGTTTTATGTACACATTGTAGTATCTTCAAGTTCACAGAACATCAATCAAGTTAAAAAGACTGGAAATATTTAAGAAAGCTTCTGTGGGTCGTCCGAGCATACCTTAGACCATCTAAAATAACCTAAAAACTATAGTT